TATATATATATATATATATATATATATATATAAAAGTGAGTGATGCGATTTAAAACGTATTTGGCGGGGGGGCAATATTACCTAGAGAGTTCAATCTAGGGGTCTTGTATTTTCCCTATGTGGTTCTTATTATTTTCCATACAAAATTTATAGGTTCACTTTACTTCTTTAGGATAAGGAGGGAGCCTTGTACAAACCTTGGTGATATAAAAAGGTAAACCTCAAACATACGGTAGAAAATATTGGAAAACCTTCCAATTAATCATTTCGTCTTTTAAGAAGAAGGTTTAAAAAATAAAAAATATTAAAAAACCTTTCAATTAATCATTTCATCTTCTAAAAAAAAGGTTTAAAAGTTAAGTGATCCAATAGGCATCGGATATAATTCAGACTGTCCAAAATGCCCCGCATGTGCATAACCCAACATGTGCAAGGCGGCTTTTTTTTCCCTTTATATAGCTTCACGTCTTTTAGATTTTCCAATGTGGGATAATTATCCCAAGTCTTCATGGCACACAATAGTCATCTCTCACTGATAAATAAAAATCAATAGTTTCGATGTCGTTTCATGCCCCTTTGTCTCTCTCATTAATCGTCAGTATACTCCAGTTTCCAAACTCCCATCTTTCTCTCTCTCTTCAACATTCATCCTCCCCAATATATCCATCTCTCTCTTCAATATTCAGATCTCTTTCTTTCTCATCAATACTCATCTCTTACCTCTATCTTACATTGCAATCAACACTCTCTTTTCTCCCCTTTCTGCTCCTCTCTTTCTCTCTCTTCTCAACTCTCTCTAACAAAACTCCTGTAACCTCCCCTTTTTCTCTTCATAAATTTGCATTCCATACATTACATATTTCACCGTCCAAAAATAACATCTCTCAAAAACCCAACCCAAACAAAAGCTGGAAAAATTGATAAAATTGATCGTATCAGAAGCCCTGCCTTCAAATCCAGAGACTCTCAAGAGATTACTCTCCGTCTCTTTGTAGTAATTTACATGAAGATTGATTGATCTTTTTTTATTTTTCTTTTTCCTGTTTTCACTTCTCTTTTTCCTTAGCATTCGTCCCTCTATCTCTCTCTTTTCGTAGCTATTTAGGCCACAAAGTGGCTATTTTGATATATTTATTTTTTATTTTTTCGTTATATATATATATATATATATATATATATATATTAATATCATAATATTAAAATTACAAGGGATTTTATTTTTGTTTTTAATCATATAATATGAAAGTGTTTTTTAATAAATTTTTTAATCATATTTCTTGTATACAGACATCCAAATAAAAAATAGTGTCTCAGTATGCATATATTTTAACAAAGTAACAAAAGTATATAAATACATAATGCATCACTCCTAATTTATTTTAGAAACTAACAAAGCACTTTTTGTAAATATTTATAGTGATTTATTTTTTTTAAAAAATTGAGATAAAATTTACCGATTCAATCGATTTTCCAATTCAATACAAGTATAGGTATTCGGTACGCCCAAGTTTCTTGAAAATTATTGAAAAAATCGTATTTTTGATAAATTTTTCTAAAAATGCGTTGGAACTTTTTTTCAAAATAATAGGCAGCAAATGCCCATCTCAAACTGAGGTCCAAGTATCCCCCTTGTCGCCTGTCCAACCCAACCGCAGGTGATAAAAGAAATCGGGCTTCAAGGTTTTATTCTTCCTGAAAAGTTCGATGTGGGATAATTTCAAACTTGTTACCTCCTTATGCAAACTTAACTCTCGCATTATTAACTCCTTGTGCGTTGTAACTCCTCTTGCAAACTTATTAACTCCTCGCCTTCTACAAACTTTTTAGCTCCACCCCCGCCGCTACCCATGACCACCCAGAATACCTTAGCGTCTCTCTCTATATATAGTTATCTATTATAAAATTTTAATTATAGGAATATGATTGCATTAAAATTAAATTCATATTATTATATTGAATAAATATAATTATATAAAATTTACTAATTTATTTAGTATAATGATGTTAAAATTGTTATTACTATATTAAATTTTTTATTGTTATAAATACATTAAAACAACGCATAAGTTAATATATTAAACTGATATGTTATTTGACAAATTATTATTGTTATATAGATTATGTTATTTCATATTTAGTCTAGATTGTATTTTTAAATAATATCTTTTAATTTTTATAAATATTAACAAATAATTTATTGTAAATTTGATATTATTACAATAACTCATTTTATATAGCAATAAAAATTTGATATATTTTTAATTATATTAAATTGTTGTATATAAAATCTTGAATCTTGTTTATTATAATGAATAATTATACATTGATAACCAAATATTGTAATTTATTCACTAATTATATATATAGACAAGAAAACAACATCTTGGTATTCACTTATTTTTACAAAGTAACTAAAGCACATAATGCATCACTCCTAATTTATTTTATAAATTAAAAGAACACTATGTTTAAAGATTTATAGTGATTTTTTGAAAAAAAAATTAAGACAAAAATTGCCAATTCTCCAATCCAATTAACCAATTCTCCGATTTGACACAAGCATAGGTGTGACCGATTTGAATCACCGATTTGTTTTTTAAAACCTTGGTATTTTGTACAATATTTTTAAGTATTTATTGATCGGATCAATCTAAACTATTTTTAAAATTTTAAAGTTCATATTTAGAGAGAACAAGCCATTGTGAATGGCCAATGTTTTGATAGAACTGCAACTCTATCAAAATAAATAAAGCCTCACCTCAAAACTCACTTAAACTTGTAGTTGTGACATTGAAAATTATTTAAGGCGACCATCTCAACTTTGACCATTGTAGTTGTAGAAAAAAGTTAAGATTTCCCTGTGAATAATATATATTGTAACATATTAACTAGACCCCCCAATTTTAGTACTAAAAACAAGTGTTCATATATCCACAAGATTTTTACCCCTTTTTGAGCCACAAATTTCATAATTAATGGTAGAAATTGATTTTTTTAGCCATCATAAAGATTTTTCATGCCCAAAGTATTATTTGGATAGAGGATTTGTGGTGAGGCTTTACATTATTTAACATGGCGTATGCCTTATATAAACTGCACTACAATCTGGAAAATGATTATACAGGGTTACAACCTCATCAAAATAAGTAAGGCCTCATCTCAAAACTCAATGGAAATTGTAGTTACGGCATTAGAAAGCCTTTAAATTGATCGTATCGGCCTTGACTATTATGGTTGTGAAAAAAATATAATTTCAAGCTCTAAAAAGAGTGTATATTAAAATATATTATCTAGTTCGTACTAAAAATAAATGTTCATAAATCTACAAGATCTCTACTATTTTTTCAGCTTTAAATTTCATAGTTAGTATTGGAAAATATGATCGTAGAGAATCATGATGATTTTTTATGCCCAAAGTGCTATGTGGACACTAGGATCCGAGGTGATGCTTTACCTTATAAGTGTGTATACTGTGCTCCTTCAGAACATACCATACACTTACTCCTTTGGGCAAAACACTAATATGCAAGATTTTTTTGATTGAAAGTTTCAAGATCCATCTAATTATAAGTAGATGATTATCTTGAAAGGAAAAAATAGATTTGGGGTTTATACACATCTAAGATCATTCCCTCTATAAATGGAGATGGTTTTGGTGGATGATATTATTAATTTTTTGGGAAAATATCTATTTATTTTATATTTTTAACTTCTATATCTCATGAGACCAAAAAATTTAAAATATTTTTGGTAAGTAAAAAGTCTCAATTTTTTCTATCTTACCGTCCCCTGGACCCATTGACTATAAATTTTTGACTTAAACAAACACTAAAATGATGCCCTATTCAAACTCCATCTTTCTCTTTGCTTATCGGTGAGTTTACCGGTCAAGGGGTTTAGCTTGAGCTTGAACACGAGGACACTTTCTTATGTGTGAGAGATAGCTGGTGTTTTAGAGAGAGAGATGAAGTTTGGGTTTTAGAGAGAGATGAAGTTTTAGAGAGAGAAAGATAGAGTTTGAGTTTTAGAGAGAGAGTTGGAGTTTTGAGTGAAAGAGAGATAATGATATGAGAGAGAAATGGAGTTTGGGTTTTAAACTGAGAGTTTTGACCTATAGACATATGAGAGAGATAGTCATTTCATAAATTGTTGAAATCAATAATAAATGGTCAAAAGGTTGGAAGTTAAAAAAAAAAGAGGTCATTTGATTACGATTAATATTTTTAATTATTAAATGTGATGAGTTATAGAAGTTAAAAAAAAAAGATAATAAATTGTTTTGCCTATTGGTAAATAAAGTACGAGAGAAACATTTTTTTTATTTAAAGTGATTTGTCGGGATCACATTCCCGAAATTAAAAAGATAAGCGTATTTGAAAACAGAAAATTAGGAAGTCGATAAATAAAAGGAAAATAGAAGTAAATGTACGGTTCGTCTTCTCACCTTCATTCATCTTCCCACCTTTATTCATAAAAAAAGCAAAAAAAATAAAAAATACAAATTTCGTGGAAAACACAATTTAAAAAAACAAAAAAAGAAAAACAAAAAAAAAGAGGAAGTTTTGCCCGCGTGAAAACCCGTGAAAAAAGCCCTACTTCCTTTCCTCATCGCTGCTGCTCCACCTCTGCTCGCGCAGGTACTCTCTCATACCTCTCTCTCTCCTATGTTCTCTCTCATCCCCGAGCTTCTCTATCTCTTTAGGACTCTCACACCTTTGCACTCTCTCTCTAGAGCTCTCACACACCCCTGCACTCTCTTTCTGTGCACTAGGGCTTTCACATCTCTGCTCTCTCTCTAGAGCTCTCATACCCCTGCACTCTCTCTCTGTGCAAATCCCTTTACCTCGAATTTGGGTTGTAGCTCTCATCTGAAGCCATCTGAAGCCATCAGCTATCAGTCCTCACTCTTCAAGCTCTTGACGCTCTTTCAAGTATGCTATTGGTTTTTTTTAATTTTTCTCATCAATCCAAATCATTGATGGGCTGTTGCAGAAGATTTTTTATATCATTTTTTTCTTTTTTGGGGGTACATTATCTGTAAATTATGTATTTTTGGGTTTTTGGTTTCTTTTTCACCTGTTTTGGTTTCTTGTCAGTTTGGTTTCTCTCTCATGTGTCCTTGTTTCTTTGTGGTGATCTGACATTTCATGCTCTCTCTGTGATGCTTTGATTTTTCATGTAGCATCAGTGGCTCTGTAAATCTCTGCGATCGCCATATTTTGGCCATCTGGTAAGGCCTTTAAGCTTTTTTATTGTTCATTTCCGTTTATTCATGCAAGATCTCTGATCAAATGCGCTATAAACCTAGAAAAGTATCTGAACATTGATGTTATTTGATCGAATGTGATTGACAGTATAGTAATCAATGAAGCTTTAGATTAATGGATTGATTGTTTATGACTAGTTGCTATAATGGACTTATTCATTGGCCTTTTCATTAGAATGTTAAAATCAGCGAAAGTTGCTTGTGTCTCATGCTTGGTGGAAAGGATCTTTTAGTCTCCATGCCATATGCATACTTGTGTCATATAGATAATGCTCCATCTCTCTGTTTTATTTTTTGTAGTCTCACTGTTTGTTTTTGCTGGATAAAAGAACATGGTTTGTATATTTCGTTCCTTTGTTAAAACTACTTGATTGAACTCTGATTCTTATTATCATTTATTTATTCGAGGGAATTGGGTTGGGGAATCAACAGGGAATGCAGTCTATTCGGTCCACTGTGAGAATCTAGTGGGGGAAAGCATGAAAGGGCATTGTATGCTGCATTATGCTTGAAGATCTTGTTGTAGAATTAGAGGGATCTAGGTGGCAGGTGATGGGGGTGATCGTTAAAGACTTTGAACAAGCAATAAATAACAGATCCGAGAGTTGTCATGAAACCGAGTCTAATTAAGTGGCCCTTGTGGTGGTGAGATTTTTAAGGAGTAAGGGTAGGTATGGTTAAGTAGTTCTTCCTTCTTCCTTCTTAGGAATGCAGCTTGGAGCATTATTGTGGTATCAAAATTGCTATTGTTAGAAGGAACTGCTTGCTCTTCCAGTAGGTTTGCAGTGGAATTCAGAACTTGAGGGTAAGAAGCAAGTTGCTGGGAACGTTATATGATCCGAGTAACAATTTTATTCATTGACAATGGATTCTCTTAGGAGTCAATGGAAGTTCTCAAGGGGTCGTCATAGGGGTATTATTATTATTATTGTTGTTGTTGTTGTTGTTGCATGGGTTTTGGATTCGTTTTTTAGATTATGGCGGGATTGATTGTATTGTTGTTGTTGTTGTTATTATTTGCTATGCAAGTAGGGGTTTTGGATTCGTTTTTTAGATTATGGTGGGCTTGATTGTAACTGATGTTAATGGCTGAATAGGTTGCTTAAGTGAATAGTCAATTAGATGCTTTGAATGCATAAATGAAGAAATCAGATTGTTTTTAGGGAAATTATGAAAACATATGTGTATACTTGGGTAATGAATAATGTGAAAGTTATTTTTTAGATAATTGAGGGCTTGATTATAATTGATGTTAATGGCTGCATAGGTTGCTGAAATGAATAGTTAATTAGATGCTTTGAATGCATAAATGAAGAAATCAGATTGTTTTTGGGGAAATTGTAAAAATATATGTGTATACTTGAGTAATGAATAATGTGTTATTCGTTTTTTAGAACTTCCTAAACTTCCAGCACGTTATCAAACACATGTATTTAGAACTTCTTTAACATTCTAGCCGGCTATCAAACACAAAAACCTAAAACTTCTTACAATAACTTCTTTCTTCCCAGTAAAGAAGAACTTCCAATTTCCAGGGAACATTTACCTTCTAGTTATCAAACAGGCCCCTAGAGTAAGTTTTGTGTGAGGGAGTAACTAGATACTATACAGGCTGGAGTAGGAAGTTTTTTGGCTTACATTCCCTCTCTCACCTCTTTGCAAGTTGAAATCCCTCTCCCCCCTCTCTCTCTCTCTTTCGCGCGAGCGCCACTTTCCCTCTCCTCACATCTCTGCACATTGGGAGCAAGCAGAAGGCCGACCTCTACCCTTCTCCTCTCCAAAGAAATCAAGGTCGAGGAGCTCACTCCAAGACTCACCAAGCCCAAAGGAAGTACAGGGCCTCACTCGCCTGGATCTAGCTCATAGAGGTTCGTTCCCTCTCTCTAGCACCATACAAGCTTCCTCCCTCCCTCCCTCCCTCTCTCTCTCTCTAGCCTCATACTCACTTGTGCGTCTCTCTCTCTCTCTCTCTCCCCCCCCATTGTTGTGCCTGCGTACTTTTACCCTCAGTAAATGCCCTCCAGTAAATGCAAAGTGCTGCATGTGCTCTCTCTCTCTATCTCTCTCTCTCTCTCTCTCTCCTCTTATTGGTGTCCTTAGTATAGCTATTGTGGGCAATTTCATCGTCTTAAGTTCTCAATTGAAAGTTTCGGTGCATCAATGAATTATTGGACATGGAATTATATAACCTCGATTCTCCATCGTTCCTCTCTTTTCTATTACTGGTTAAGTTTATTGGTTACTGTGGATGGGCATTTCTCATTTGTATAAGGATGGGTCTTTTCTCTCTCTTTTTCTTTTACTTAATTATTTAGGTAATAAATGTTTATTGTTTTACTGATATATTAATGAGTAAATCATTAGCTGGTATGGAGACACTGTTCTATAAACCTTGATTCTTGAAGGGTTATTTCCTTTGCTGTATATGTATTTCCATGGTTCCACTTGTTTACTGGTTTAATTATGTTGCTTGTATTGGTGGCCTTCTAGTATGCAGTACTTTGATTCTGCTACGTTCTTGTCACTTTTTTTTTTTTTTCCCCTCAACCTGTATATAATTTTCTTTGCTTTTAATTACATAAATTGGAATTGATAATGCGAACGTTTTTATGCTTATTATGTCCCAATTCAACACGTCCTTTGATCTAAAATTAGAGGTTTCACATGCTCTAAAGCATTGGCACTTATGGTGTGGATTGCGACTGCCTATGCTAGTAGATGTTGCAACTGATTTCTCTTATTGATCTTGCTATGTTCTTATATGCCATAGCTTGTAGATAAGAGTTTGTGAAAGACCACAACCATGTACTCACAATACCGACTAAACTAGATTCATTTGGTCCCATCAGAAGATATCAGATGCAGTAAAAAAGGTGATTGATACAATGGGGGCTTCTACGGTTAAGTCAAGAGTTATTATCGATTACATTTACGAGGAGGCTGGTAGGGCAGAAAATGTACCGTCCATTGATAAGGACATTGAAGATCACATTGATAGAAAAAATGTAAGCTAAAAGAAAATGATGCAAACCATGTTACAAAATGGCTGCAAGCAAGGAAGGATTTGAATCCAACCTTTTTTTAATATAGTGCGTCTTGATGATGTGGGGAGGCTCATTGGTGTCCTTTGGGTAGTTCCAAGTTTTATAATATAATACCAGTTCTTCCACAGCGTGGTAACATTTGACAACACCACATACCCAACTAATGCATTTAGCATGCCATTCCTAAGAGTGAGCCATCATAATTACAAAATTTTCCTTAGATACACACTCATATTAATGAAATCATAGTCATTTACATGGTTGTTTGAAAGTTGACTAGAAGCAATGGTAAGAAAGCAGCCAGACATGATTATTACTGATCAAGATTTGGCTATAACTGTTGCGGTCAAGAAGGTCTCCCCAGGGAGTAATCATCATTTTTGTAAGTGGCATATAATTGGAAAGACCAAAACAAAGTTAGCTCATGTTGCTCGAGCACACCCAATTGACTTATTTTAAACAAATTGGAAGGCTATGATTGAGAAATTTGATCTTGGATGTGAAACGTGGCTCCAATGGTTATACGGTAATCACACTCAATGGGCTGATGCATACATTGCTGATATGTTCATCGCAGGGATGACAACCACACAACGGAGTGAGAGGTTTTAATTGTGACCTCAAGGCATACGTCTTTCCAGTAACTGATCTACCATAACTCTTGAATGCAAGCCCAAAGTAACAGGGCGTGAAGTTCTTGAAAGAAAAAGAGGCTGACACTGAGCATATCACATCCATATCTGTGCTGTGCATGCCCCCTTTAGTATTGAGTGACACATCAAAGATTTACACTAAAAAGGTTTTCAAAAAGTTTCAAAAGGAGTTAGTAGATTTTGTGGATTGCTGGATCAAATTATCTAAGGACAGTGGGGAAGTTGCCAAATAAAATATGGAACATTTTCAAGGAGAGTCAGTCCATCGTATTGTTATATACATCGAGTCAGAAACCAAAGCTGCATGGACATGTCACCTGTACAAACTTGTTAGCATCCCTTGTTCACATATCCTCAAGATATTCAACATGGTTTTAGGTGATGCATACTTTAGGTACAACTTTAACATAATTTCCAAGTAATGGATATTTTAGGTGCAACTTGACATTTTATTAGTATATTTAAGCAATGTTATTGATTCATTTTGTTTTTTTAATTTTTTGTTATTCTTCCACATCTCTTAGCATATTCAATTCCAAAAACACATAAATCCACTATTGTGTGTATTATGGTGTGTGTACAGTAGAATATATTTATTTTGACTTTCATATATTATTAATATTATGTATTTCATGCATGATATACTTCTTTCGTAAAATCTCTTGAATTATATTGATTTTCTCCATCTTATACTAAAATATCCCTCTATGCAAAAAAATAGGATTTGTTTTTTTAAACTAGAAATATGTCTCACACCATACCCTAAACTGCATCCTACAACCTTTCTAGAGATGGGCCTCCCTTTATTATTGTGTCCACCCCTTTACTATGGCTTAATAATGTACTAATAGTAATATGTGTGTGTGAGTATATGCGTGCATGCTAGTGTGTGTACAACTTTGCATTTTGATGTTCAAACTCCTCTCTTTAACCAACCATAACAATATTAGTTCAACCCCCTAAAGAAAATGACTAACCCAAAAATTCAATAACATAGTCAATGCCTTAATTACCTAACATATTTGAGATTAACCCAATTCAAAAGAATCACAATCTAGTTTTCAAAAAATTTCAGTGAGAGAGAGAGAGAGAGAGAGAGAGAGAGAGAGAGAGCA